ATCACGTTACAAATACCAAATATTCTTAATTTTAACATTAAAAGTATGGCGAGATTTGGTTGATTTGTAACCTATTTTCTAGTTGACTCGACAAAAGGAATGTCAACTTGGTAAAGTGATGATAATTATTAAAATTTAGAGAATATTAATTCTGATTTTGAAAGTTGAGACATATTTTTTTTATCGAGATATTAACAATTTTGTCGTTAAAAATATTTTTTTTAGTTTAAAGATATTCTTTATACAAAATATAGATATTTGGATAATAGTTTTGCAAAAAAAAATACTCTTATTATTAAAAAAAAAAAAAACAATATTACTCTTAACCTTTATTCAACAGCCGGATTCGAACAAGAAATAGGTGCATTACCATGATAACACCGAACTGATTGAACATTTCAGATGCCAGGATTCAAAAAAAAAAAAAAAAAAAAAAACCCTACAAAAATCTACCTCAGTTAGTTCATCAGGTGGGTCATTACAATTTTTTTGAAGAACAGTTGATTTTGATCATTCGAATCACTACCTTAATTGTTCTAACAATTTCCTCTCAAAATCTTTAAACAAGAACAGAAAAATTGATTATAGCTTAGAGTAGAGAGAATCTTAAGATTTGCTTTATTCTTGTTTATTTGATTATTTTAAGAAAGAAAAGGAAACATGTTTTGGTGTCTTATCCGCTACTTTCTTCGGTCCCTCGCGGTCATTATAATCTCCATTTTTGTATGCTTCTCTTTAAAAGTAATGCAGAAGAACAAAACCCGCAAAAAAATTGATTTAAATTTCAGAGAGGTTCGAAAAGAGTACACAAAAAGGTATGTATGTTCTAGATCTATGCAAGTTTTTTGAAAAATTGCTGTTCTTATCCGCCATTTCATCCACATTTTACTTTTGACGAAATCCCATGGACTCTGTTCTTGATGGGTCGTATTGATTTCTGGGTTTTTGAGATGAAATTCACTTGGATTCACCTGGGTTCGCCTGAAATTTCTATTGTTCGAAGGATTTCTTGCTGGAATTTGATTAGAAGGGTTTTCAATGGGATGATTTTGAATTCATTTTATGAGGGCTTTGGCGAACATTCAAAGAATGTTTTTCATTGGCCACAAAAAATGGAAATAAAATCGACCTATTTGTTTATATCTTCCCAGTTTGACAGTTTCTCTGTTATATATGTATATATACAGGATTTGAAACGATCGAGATTACTCATTCATTCTGTATCGATTCGCATTGCGCCAAATCTCCGCTTCCTGGATTTGTTCATAATGCGAAACGGTTAGATTAAGCGATAATCTGGTTTTTCTTTTGCAGTTTTGTAGATCTTCGTTCTTCAGCTTCGCAAATCAATTAGGTTTTCGTAACCCTTCTCTTAGTTTTTGATTTCCGCGAGAACTTTTACGAAGGGATTTGAGAGAAAATCATGGGGCATTCGGCGCCGGTTTGGGATTGCAGAGCCGCGATCGAGATTACGAAGGATTGGAACGGCATTGATCAAGTTGTTCTTAGAAATCCCAAAGGAGCTTCCGCTAGGGTTAGTTTTCTTCTTCCATTTTCATCGCGTTTGAACAAGAATCGACAATGCTGATTATATATAATCTTCTTTCAATCCACACTTTTCTATTTCGTTGTGTTCTTGGAGTTAGATGATCGATTGAAGAATCTCTTGTTCTTGATGAGTTTTCGTTTTGTTTCTGATCATAATCTTCTTTCGATCGACACTTTTCCATTTCGTTGTGTTCTTGCGGTTGAATGATCGATTGAATCTCTTGTTCTCGATCGGTTTTTGTTTTGATTCTGATTATATAGATTAGTTTACATGGAGGACAAGTTTGTTCATGGAGAAACGATCAAGGGGAAGAACTTCCCTTCACAAGTAGTAAGGTACTGATTTCATAGAACTGGCTGGAGTTTTTGAATTTGATTCAAAAAGTGGAATGTTTATGCGAAGAAATTGAGTATCAGTTCATACATCAATGGTGTAGGCAATCTTTAAACCAGCAAAAGCTATGAGGGGAGGAATTCCAATATGTTTCCCACAGGTTTGTAGGATTATCTTGTTCATCTCCAAATCTCTACAACAATCTTCATTCATTCCTGATATTATCAACCAAAATTCTTGTAGTTTGGTAACTGTGGAACACCAGAGCAGCATGGGTTCGTCAAGAACAAGATCTGGACAATCGACGATAATCCACCGTCATACATGGCTGACCTCGACGGAGCGTCCTCCTTCGTCGATTTACTATATAGATCCTCCGAAGAGGACTTGAAATGTTGGCCCTATAGGTAAACTAAATGATGTTCTTAGTTTGAACCTTTTAAGATCTTGAAGAATGTATAAGTCTTTGACATTGGTAAATTCCTGTCAGTTTTGAGCTTCGGCTTCGGGTGTCTCTACGACACGACGGAGACCTGATTTTGAGGTCTAGAGTTAGGAATATCAATGGAAAGCCATTTGCATTCTCATTTGCCTATCATACACACTTGGTGGTTTCGGACATAAGGTATTATCTTCTAGAGTCTCATCGTTCGTTTTTGTTTGATCTGTATGTTCGTAAATTCAGATTCTTATACATGTTTAAATGAAGCTAGGTGCGAATCGAAGGCTTGGAAACGCTCGACTTCCTGGACAATCTATGTCACAAGGAGCGGTTTACAGAACAAGGAGATGCCATAACCTTTGAATCTGAGGTAACTTGTTCTGTATATTTAGGTTCATTACATTTCTTGGGGTATCAAAGCTGTTAGTAACATAATACTCGAGGGTTGTCGATTGGTAGGTCGATCGAGTGTATTTGAATACTCCGAATGTAATTGCCATACTTGATCATGAGAGGAAGCGGACTTACGTGATCCGAAAGGAAGGATTACCGGATGTTGGTAAGATTTAGAACGTGTAGATGCTGCTATACATGTTCGAAAATATTGCATTAGGGGCTTGCCATTTAGTGTTTTGGTTTTGTGTATGGTAGTTGTTTGGAATCCATGGGAGAAGAAGTCGAAAGCAATGGTGGATTTCGGGGACGAGGAATATAAACAAATGGTGTGCGTTAACGGAGCGGCGTTGGAGAGACCGATCATGTTGAAGCCTGGTGAGGAATGGAGAGGGAAGATGAAACTCAGTGTCGTTCCCTCGAGTTTCTCTCTCGACTTGTAGAGGAGATGGAACCGAGACGGGGGGGACGGGACAGCACGGGCAGACTACTTTTTTAATGTGGGTGATGCTGTGCTGTGTAGAAAAATAAAGATCCTTGTAGTTTTAGAAGAAGTTTTTAGTAGAAAATGATGAAATTAGGAAGGACGCCACTTGTGATGTTTTTAAGGAGTGGCTTGGCTGCATTTCCCCACTGAACTATCTTCTTGTTTTTAGAGGAAGAAAGGGTGAATTCATTGTTTTCTTTGTTGTTTGGAATTAATATTTTTTGAAATTTTGTACAATTTATATGGACCTACCTAACAGTTAATTTTGTTTCATATTGGATTAGTTTGAATTCAAAATTTATTAATAAAGGCTTCCGTTAAAAAACGTTCTCGAGGAGGAGGAACTGCTTAAGACTGTCTTAAGGGTTATTATCGAATTGAAAGTGCTTAATTTTATATTAGGAGCAAAGCAAGCGTATCTTTCTCTCTCTTAATAATTTTATATTGAAATGGTTGAGACTCGATTCAAAGGTCTCATCCACTTTCAGGCAGGGCCCTTCCCATAGTCGAGGTAGACGTTTCTGTGTGTAAGAGGAGCTTTGTGTCGTGGTCATGCTGCCTTGGCCGCATGCCATGACAAGCCAAACCCTTTATATCTTATTCCTTGAGTTTTTCCATATTCTAGTGTTCTACTTTTGTATTTCTAGACGTTTCAGAAATATCATGTCTATGTCTGCCAGAATGTATTATAGGGGATATGATTAGTAGACATGAAATGCTTCAGAATATACTATAGGGAATATGACTAGTTGTCAACTTCTCCTTACCCAAGGTTATATATTGTGAGTCGTTGTTACTCTCTTACTTGCTTATATAACGTCTCTTTCAAAAATCTCTCTTTGCCCTTTTCTAAAACCTTCTCTTAAACCGAGGCCAGAGGCTCGAGCATATATCGCTTGGCCATAAGCGACGCAAGAACGAATTGGCTTAGCTCACTTGTCGTTGGAAAGTGAGTGTCGCACAATCAAGAGTGCGATTGTGACACTTTGATAAGGAATTTCTCATTGTGTAAGAGGAGCTTTGATCGGAGATTTCTATAATGGAATAGGGAGTGAGGAGAGATTTTTGAGAGTTGTTTTTGACATTTTAGATTATTATTATTATTATTATTATTATTTTGTAGCATTGTCATTATTGATTCAACTATAAAACTAATTCATTTTATTTTTATTTTCTTATATTCTTCTTTTTAGGTGAAATGACTTAATCAACAAATAATAATTTACCTGTGGCGTACCTCCAATTTGAATAATAGTTTATATTAAAAATGAAAATTATACATTAAATAAAAAAAATTAAAATAATTTTTTTAAAAAGATAATAAACGGGAAATATTTGAATACTATCTTCCATCAATAATTATATAATATTTGAGTACGAAATAATTAAAGGCGGAAGAAATTAACGGAAATATAACGTCATACGTAGGGTCCGCCAGTAAACTTCAGAAACGTTAAAAAGAAAAAAGAGATAAAACGAAAAATTAAATAAGCGGAAGCCACTCTAAATTTATCAGAGCCAGGTTTCGATCCTGGGACCTGTGGGTTATGGGCCCACCACGCTTCCGCTGCGCCACTCTGATTTGTTGGTACACTAGTTTCTATTTTAATTAATTAAGTTTCAAATTAAAATTTAAAACCAATGAAAATGAAAGTTATTGGGCCGTTTTTTAGATGGGCCTATTTAACTTTGTAAGATCCAACATGGGCTTTACTCAGCAAATTTGGGCCCAAAATTTACTCTTTGAAATCTTCTTCTTCGTTTCCCTCGGGCGGATCATAAACCCTAAACATCACTCCAACAGAATTCCGATGCATTGAGGTTTGACGTTGTAAGAGACTCATCTAGGAAGCACGCCATCGGCGTTTCGACGTAATCTTATCATCCATGGCTCACATTTCTTTATCTAAGCCTCACTACAGCCGTATCCGGGTTCTTTCCAGTTCTTCAATTTCGTGCCCAACCGCCCTCAATTCGCTTAATTTCTTCAGCTCTACTCAAGAACTGATCCCCACAGCTACTCAAAATCAATGCCCCAGTGATCAATCCGCCAGTTCCGATGCTGCAGTGGCTGTTAATGTCGACGTGCAAGTTAATCGAAGAACCCCTAGAGGTAAGCATCGAAACCCAGAAAAAATTGAGGATATTATTTGTAGAATGATGGCAAATCGTGAATGGACAACTCGTTTACAGAATTCCATTCGGTCGTTGGTTCCTCAATTTGATCACTCTCTTGTTTGGAATGTGTTGCATGCTACTAAGAACTCGGATCATGCGCTCAAGTTCTTCCGGTGGGTAGAACGAGCCGGCTTATTCCGACATGATCGCGATACCCATTTGAAAATAATTGAGATTCTTGGTCGAGCTTCGAAGCTTAACCATGCCCGTTGCATTCTCCTTGATATGCCCAATAAGGGTGTTGAATGGGATGAAGATTTATTTGTTGTATTGATTGACAGTTATGGTAAAGCTGAGATAGTTCAGGAAGCTGTGAAAATATTTCAAAAGATGAAGGAATTGGGCGTTGAGATAAGTGTTAAATCTTATGATGCTTTGTTTAGGGTGATTTTGAGGAGAGGGAGGTATATGATGGCGAAGAGGTACTTCAATGCTATGTTGAATGAAGGAATTGAGCCGACTCGCCATACCTATAATTTGATGCTTTGGGGTTTCTTTCTGTCGTTGAGGCTCGAGACAGCCAAGAGGTTTTTTGAAGACATGAAGAGTAGAGGTATATCGCCCGATGTCGTTACGTATAACACTATGATTAACGGGTATTATCGGTTCAAGATGATGGAGGAGGCAGAGCAATTCTTTACTGAGATGAAGGGGAAGAATATCGTACCGACAGTGATAAGCTATACTACTATGATAAAAGGTTACGTTTCGGTTGGCCGAGTTGATGATGGATTGAGATTGTTTGCAGAGATGAAGGCTGTTGGTGTGCAGCCAAATGGTATTACTTATTCAACTCTGCTCCCTGGTCTGTGCGATGCAGAGAAAATGTCGGAAGCGCGACAAATTTTGACCGAAATGGCGAGCAAGTATATTTCTCCAAAGGATAGTTCCATTTTCATGAGATTGTTATCTTGCCAATGCAAACATGGTGATTTGGATGCTGCTATGCACGTTCTGAAAGTGATGATTCGGTTAAGCATTCCGACAGAGGCTGGACATTACGGTATTTTGATCGAGAACTGTTGCAAAGCTGAAATGTACGATCGAGCTGTTAAATTGCTCGACAATCTCGTCGAAAAGGAAATCATATTGAGGCCACAAAGTAGTCTGGAAATCGAGCCTAGTGCGTATAACCCTATTATTCAGTATCTGTGCAACAATGGACAGACTGGAAAGGCTGAAACCTTTTTCCGGCAGTTGTTGAAGAAGGGTATTCAAGATGAGGTTGCGTTAAATAATTTGATTCGTGGCCATTCCAAAGAAGGTAATCCTGAATTGGCTTATGAAATGTTGAAAATCATGGGTAGGAGAGGCGTGTCGAGGGATGCCGAGTCTTTTAAGGTGCTTATCGAGAGCTACTTGAGCAAAGGCGAACCAGCTGATGCTAAAACAGCTCTGGATGGCATGATTGAATGTGGGCACTATCCCGACTCGGCGTTGTTTAGATCAGTGATGGAAAGTCTATTTGCAGACGGGAGGGTGCAGGCCGCGAGCCGAGTAATGAATAGTATGTTGGATAAACGAATAACCGAAAACTTAGACTTAGTTGCTAAAATCTTAGAAGCCCTTTTCATGAGAGGGCACGTCGAGGAAGCATTAGGACGAATCGATTTGCTAATGAGCTGCCACTGCCCGCCTGATTTCCCTAGTCTTTTATCTGTTCTTTGTGAAAAGGGGAAAACCATTGCAGCTCTCAAGCTTTTAGATTTCGGGTTGGAAAGGGAATGCAACATAGAGTTCTCGAGTTATGAGAAAGTACTCGACGCGCTTTTGGGGGCAGGGAAGACATTGAATGCGTACTCGATTCTATGCAAGATCATGGAGAAAGGAGGAGGGGCCAAGGATTGGAGTAGCTGTGATAATCTGATCAAAAGGCTGAATCGGGAAGGGAACACAAAGCAAGCTGATATTCTCTCAAGAATGATGATCAATGGCGGAGGAGACAGAAAGGGAAGTAAGAAATCTTGTGTTGCTGTTTGATTCAATATAACTCAAATTTTGGAGGGCAACCCAAGTGAGGGCGGCGGCCGGACGCAGGGATCGCTCCGTTCAGGTCATGTAAGCCTTGCCCTCTGCATTCACCATTGCTTTATTTCCAATGAATCTCAAGCTATTACCCATCTGTTATGAAATTTGATATCTCTGGCCATTGGTGTTCATAATTGTTTGAATAATATGATTCTGTAGCCCTCACCTATTCCCACTCAAATGGGTTCAAGTGATTCTTTAGTACAATGTATTATGATGAGCACTATTTAACACTATTTTGTTCATAAAATTGTTGTGTATTATTGTAATTTTAGTCTAAATTAAATTAATAAGAATACCGTTAAATTCGGTACTAACTCGAATGGCATCAAAAGTTTTATTGACGTCTTTAAACCTTAAAAAAAATAAATTTAAAAACATGGTTGAATTTTTTTAAATGACTTCATATTTTTGTTAATCAACTAATTTTTAATTTAAAATGTGGAGTATTTATAATTATTTTTCTAGAATTTAGAGATTAAAATATTCTTTTTGAAAGTTCTAAATTAATAAAATCATTAAATTTTAAAAAAAATAATTAAAAAATACATTTACCATTTTGTTTGATACTTATTTTTGAAAGAAAATAATTTAAAAATAGTAGTAAATTAAATGAAAATTTGGAGTGGATTTTATTTAGGATTGTGAAGCTGTCAGCTATGAAAAAGTTGTACAGGCTAGGTCCTACGAAACTTGCCAGTAAGGCATTCAAATTTCACATCTCCCAATTAATAACACACGTCTTCACTTATATTTACGATTTTAAAAAATATTTTTAAAAAAATATATATATCATAACACTCTCGTACAAGTTCTTGTAACTTTGCTTTGGACTTTCCCATAAAACCTCGTACCAATGAAAATGTATCTTTTTACTTATAGACCCATGATCATTCTTTAAGATCATTCTTTAAATTAGTCAACGTAGGACTCACTCCCAACAATCTTCCTCACCTATAACTCAATTTAATAGCTATATAGCATTATTTAGTTTACTTTATTTTGGAAAACACCAAACAAATAACATAAAAAAAAACATAAAAGAAAAAAATCATTTGGTCGATTTAACTCATGTTCATATCATAAAAAATTTGGTTTGGGTAACGATGTCGATAGAGATTTATCTCTACTTATAGATCGAGACATTTTAAAATTTAACCTAATTGTTGGGGTTGTAAATTTTTTAACATAAACAACCTTAATTAAATAACAAATTCACGCCTAATCATAATTTTTTTTTAATTAGAATGGTTTGGAAGATTGTTCCAATTATTTGTTCAAATTTTTGTTTTTATTACGAGTTAAATGTTAATTTATAAATGATTTATTTTCAAACATTTAAAAAAAAATTATGAAAATTTTTCTTAAATAAAATCAAACCATCCAGATTTAAAATGGAATGTATTTAAAAGTTGCAGATTTGGAGTATGGTTTTTGTGTAATTTTACTTAAATGAAGAATCAAATTATAATTTAGTGTATGTATCAATTTATTTCAATATTTTATTTAATAATTTCACGATATTTAAAATGTATATCATGATGCATGATGACGAGGGAGACTCGGCACAGTGCCAATTCCTAACACTTGAGGTAAAGTCTGCCTTATGAACCGCAGTCTTAGGTCCCACAAGTGCGTTGTGCACGTTCAAATTGTGAATTTAATATTTTTAATACTCAACTTTTTTTTTTTCAAAATAGTTTTATGTAATGACAATGAGGTAGGAGGCAAGTGATAAGTGTGTACGCTGGGTTAGCCATATGATTTTCTCTATTTATGTGAAAAAAAAAGAGAGTTGGGACAAAAATGAGAATGAGAGGTTGTTAGGCCATATGGTTTTACCAAATTGGATTTTGTGCTACGCAACGCAACCAATCCAAACGCCTCGCATCCAAATTTCTGTCACCGCCAATAACATTCGTTCTTCTTCCATTTTCTATCAGTTCCTTCTCATCGCAAGAGCGGATTTCCGGCAGCAATTCGCTCAACTAAGGTAACCTTCTTCTTCTTCTTCTTCTTCTTCTTCTTCTTTGATTTGTAAATCTCTGCGTGTGAATGTGATTTCGGTTCTCCTGTGACATGGAATTACGTTCTGTTCTTTTCGGATGAAACGATTTCGATTTCCTAATATTTAATGCGATTCATGAACTCGACTGATTAACTGAATAGATTCCTCTTTCTTTGTCTCGATTTCTGCATTGATTTTGAATTGACTGTAATTAAATCAGATTTCCGTGAAGGAGTTCGTTAATTTCAGAGAATATGACAGAGCCGCCATTGAAACCTGTTCTCCAGAAGCCTCCGGGGTATAAAGAACTGAATCTCGCTGCTCAGCCGGTGGTGAGACCGTCGGCGAGGAAATTGATTCTTCCTTCGCCGATGAACCAGAAGAACAAGAAGCGACGGAGCTTCTGCCGTGGATGCTGTTGTTTCCTCTGCTTTTTCCTTCTGGTTCTGATCGTTGTAGCTGTCGCCGCTGGTGGAGTTTTATACCTCTGGTTTGAGCCAAAACTCCCTGTATTTCATCTCCAATTATTCCGAATCTTGAAATTGAACGTCACCGACAAATCGGACGGCTCGTATCTAAACGCGAGAACCCTCGGTCGTATCGAAATCAAGAACCCTAACTCGAAGTTATCACTGAATTACGGCGATATCGAGATCAAAATCGCCGCTGGAGAAGGAACTCAAACTGAATTAGGATCAACGATTTTGCGAAGCTTTGTTCAATCTAATGAGAACAAGACGAGTTTGAAGATCGAAACTATAGTCAGCAATGAAACAGTCGACAGCGGAGCGGGCCGGAAGTTGATCTCCGGCAACCGGACCGGCGAGTTAATAGTGAACGTCGGAGCAGAGACGAAAATCGGATATATGGTGAATGGTCGGAGAATGCTGCCGGTGAAGATCGAAGTGACGTGCGGAGGCGTGAGGTTGAAAAGTCTCAACAGAGGCGACATGCCGAAATGCTCCATCCATTTGCGCCGATGGTTTCTGTAACCAAAAAAGGAAAAAAAAAAAAAAAAAAAGGTTAAATCAATTAAATTAAATTTGGTAATTACAGTGGGATTAAACTTTATAAAACACAGAAAAGTTGATGCGATTTGTTACCATAGAAAACAAAATAGGTATTATTTTGGTCTCATTTTTTGGTAACCTTTTTTATTTGATTTTATCATCTTGTTTGGAAAAGAAATTTGTTTATATGAAATGAAATTATATTATATCTCAATTTTTATAATAAAATTATATTATCTCTACCTTGTCATGTGCGGAAATCTTGGTTATATCTAATAAGTGAAAACGTACAATATTTGTTTGCCGTGAGTTTAAATTGTTACAAATAGTATCAGAGCTAGTCACTGGATATGTGCAAACGAGGACATTGACCCCAAAATATATGGTATCAGAGCTAGTCAATCAGAGGGGAACAAATCGTTCGTTACAAGGGTGTGGAAACCTTTCAAGATTTATACATTTTTTTAGCTGTAAGGCTTGGATTAACAAATGTGGGTTTGCTCGATTTGACATTTTTTTTAAAATTTCAACAACTTTGGAATCAGAAATTTGAATATATGATTTTTAGAATAAGATGTATAACCCGAGAGTATACTACCAATTTTTACTTTCTAAAGTTTTAAAACATACACTTGTCCATCGAGATTTGAAGAATATTCCATATGGTCCCTTAAAATTTGAAGAATATTCTGACGAGTCCCTCGAGATCTGAAACCTACTTTATATTACATTCTTAGTCAACGAACCGTCTTTATACTCGATGACCATTAAGAATCACTTCTCAAACTTTCTGATTTGAAATCACGAGAATTAGATAGATATTAACCCTAAATCTCAGTAATAAAAATACTAAATATAATTTTAAAAAAGGAAAAAAAATTGGATTAAATTTATATCAAATAACGAAGTTATAATTATTTTTCTTTCATAAATAAGTTGTAGATTAGTTATAATTCTAATCTCGTATGGAATATACAATTAAGAGTAAAAGTAAATATTGTAAAGTTAATATATTAAATAGTTGTTTTTTTTTTTAATTTTTAAAATATTTAGTTGAACTGGTTGGTGCATTACTATTTTAAATTTAAGGCTAATAAATGAACAATTATTTAAAGTTGGACTAAGACTGGTATTATGGGATTTTGTTGGGTGTGTTAAATATTTATTTTTGGTGGAATATCACATTCAATATTGAATTTTGGTGCTTGGATTTTTAGTTAGGTTTGGGTATGATTGAATCTTTGATTTAGATTTAGATTAGGAAGGCTAAATTAATAAAATTATTTCTAAATTTTCAAAACAAATATAAAAAAAATATCTTTAAAGTATGAATTTCAAAACGTTTTATTAATAATTTTTAATTTTTAAAAATGTTCAAAAATAGCGTTGCCCGTGTTAAGAGTAATATTAACGCCTTTTACCTTTTTTTTAAAAAAAATTAACAAAAAATCTAGTTGTGAAAGGTATGGACTAAAATTGTCTATCTATCTCAAATTAGATCCAAACATTTTAAAGTTAATACATCGATAGTATTTTTTATTTTTTTTTTAATTTTAAAAGTGTTCTTAATTTTTTTTAAATTAAAGGTATTTTAAAGTTTTTTTTTAATTAAGATTATTAATGAAACTTTTGAAAATTCAACGGTTTTTTGAAATAAAGTATTAATGGTTTCTACGAGATTAATGGTAAATGTATTTTAATTTTTTTAATTTTTTTTTGACGATATTATTACAGTGTTTTTGAAACAAAATACAAAATTAAAAGATATTTTTAAAGTTATTCTTATTTCATGAGACACGAAAGAAAAATGTATTTTAATCCATCGTATTTATTTGACTAACAAAATAAAAAGGGAAGAAAATTGTAACAAACGCGTTTTAAAATCGTGAAGTTCATGCTGATACGCAACGGACCAAAGTCATATTTGCTAGTGTTTGGATTGTTACAAATTGTATTAGAGCTACGAACGGGCCAAACTTGTCTCTTAAAAGTATTGGCCAAAATTTGATCTAGACTCAAACCTAATAAGTTTAAAACACTATTTGAGCATGGGTTGAGCTGATCCAATTTTTAGTAGCCAAGTCATGGCCCAATTATGGATTGCATCAAAATTTGGACCGAATTGAGTAAGTCAACACGTACTTTGATAGCATGGGCTAACCTTGGATGATTGATCAAAATTTGAATTAACCGAGCATGAATTGAGTCCGAATTAATTTTAACCAACTATTAGACTATAGACTCGTTAACGAGGTCAGTTACAACTAGTCCCATTAAAAATATAATAATAATAAAATTAGAGCGACAATGAATTACATTAATTTTATGTCGGCGTAAGACTAAAGTTCAATTTACAAAGTTTTTTTTTTTAAGAAAATTTAATTTATAATTAATTTCAGAAATTCTAAATTAACTATCATTAAGGAAAAGAAAAAAGAAAAAAGAAAAAAGAAATATTAAAGTAACAGATCCCATCAGATTCTGATGGGATTCGAATCCTACCATCGGCATTATTGAAATAATAATAATAATAATAATATTATTATTATTCCTAAAATGCTGCATTTTTTTTTTTAATTTCCGAAAAAGTGCGCGCGGTGTTTCGATTGTTTTCTTCCTCAGTTTTCTCGTTGGAGAGGTCTCTCTCGGCTACCGTCCACGGCGTCGAAACGGATCCTGAAGGAGCTCAATGATCTCCAGAAAGATCCTTCTACTTCCTGCAGTGGTGGTTTAGTATTCTTTCTACTCTTGTTCCTTTTTACTATCTCTCTCTATATATTTTTTTTTCACTTTCTAAGATTGGTCTAGTGATTTCGTTTTCATCGGTTATTGGAGACTCCGAGCAACTTCGTTGTTGTTCTTTTATTTGGAAATTAAGTGGATCGCAATGTTTGTTTGTGGATTGCGTGAAAAAGTAACAACTCTGAAATTCAATTATCATGTTTGTAATTATCTAAGCATGCGGAGGTCTACGAAAATCGGTTTTGGAGTTCTTAGCACTGATTTGCATTCTCAATTTTGTGGTTTACGCGTAGGATATGGTTTAATTTGGCTCTTCTCTAAACAATTCATTGTACTCCGGAATGGAATTCGGTAATATGGAAACTGAATCGTGTATTAGAGTTTGATTTATATGTATATGTTAAGCTTATTGAAGCAAGGTTCTATTGAGTCAAAAACTATAGATACCGGTACATTTATTGGCTTATGGATCTTTTTGACTTTAGTTCTCTATACTATAAAGAATTGATTCTATGAATTTTCACGTTTTAAATCATAGTTGTTTTTTAATTGAGCTAGACTCAGAACAGTATAACCGCTTAAGATTTGAGTAGTCAACACTTTCAATTCATTTGGACTTAGTAAATTTCTATATCCCGTTACCATATTGTGGTTCTTGTTTTATTAATTATTCTAATGTCTGTAATATGTGTGTTGTCACTGTTTTTATTACTTATTTGATTAATAACTCAGTAAGTCAGTGCTAGAAGTTATTTTCACACTTCCTGAGCTAAACAGTTCAGTTATGACCACCTAAAGGCCATAAAGTGTTTGACTGGGAAAATAGTATAACGAACGATTTTTAACGTATCACATTGGATGTTATTGATAATTTTCTGCACATTTTTCATGTAAATTGATTTAGATGTTATTGTTGTGAAATAGGCTTACTGCCTATTTTACCATAGTAGCGCTATCTTTAACTAAATGTGAAAACTAGATTTGGGGAAAATAAGTGTAATGACTTGATTAAGGTGAAAATTTAACTTAATCAGAGATATGTCTTCTTAGGTTCTTGGACACCCATTGGTGGATGGAACTCCCTTGTTCTTGATTTTGGAATGCTATAGTGTAAATCTTGGGAGTTTATCTCTTAATTTCAGGAATTTTATGATATTTCAATTTCCGGGTAGCTTTCTACTGGGCAGCAAATATTTTATTCTCGTGTGGGGAGGTCATCCATTTAAAAGAACGACCGACTATCAAGGTCACTTCAAGGGTAGATGGGGTTTTTAATGCAATGTTGAGATTGTATTTCTTGTGTTGTTTCTTCTAGGAATAGTTTTGATTGGGTCGTGCTAATTGGAGACTGTTTTTGCATCCGTCATTGGCTATCGTGGGGGATGGAGTCTTTTCTTTCTCTTCTCTTCTGTTTTCCTTCTTCCTTGATAAAATTTTTAGTTTTGTGAGATTGTAGGATTATTGCTATGTATCATTTATTATGTCACGGGAGTCCTTACCTACAACTTTTTACGTTGCTTCAGTTTATCATTTGTCTAGGTTGCTTTCAGGACAATGGTTTTTCACCCAAACATTAACATTAACGGTAGTATTTGCTTGGACATCTTGAAAGAGCAATGGAGTCCAGCTTTGACTATATCAAGGGTTTTGACTTCTCAATGACAATTTTAACATTAAACTCCTAGATGTTTGAATTTTATTATCTTGTGCCTTTTTTACACTATGGCTTTGGATCAAATTCTTTGAGTTGCCTGTTGATCAACATTTACAATTTTATTGCTTAACTAGGGTATCAAGGCACTATCATTATGTGCATATATTAAAGAGGGGAAAAAAAAAACAGAAACCCCCATTTTGTTGATATAATTTCGTTCATGGTACTCGGGCATATTGATGTAGTAATGTGATGGCAATTGTACTTTAGTGCTCAACACTCTGAACAGTTGTCACATTTCATGTCATCTTTATTTTATTACAATATTTCTCTAATTATAGTAATAGTCATCAATCCAAATTATAGTGAGCCATCAGGACATAAAAAAAATTTAAATCCAAGAACGTGTTAGGTGAAAACACTAAGCAAACAACTTAGACCAACCGCTGAGAAAGTATGATTGCAACCATATATGGAGCATATAAAATGCACACATGTTGCTCTTGGGTGACAGCATGATATCCTGGTTAGATTTCATTTTTATGAAATTTATACTGTAAACTTGTGAGGGTTACTTATCATTTGAGTAGTGCAATGGGTACCAAGGGGTCACTGGCCAATGTTGACACAGGGAGACCATGGTATGTTTTCTGAGAAAGTCTATTGCCTTCCGCCAAAAATCCTGTTCATTTTCTTATGATATATATGGTGTAATGCATCTTATTCTAGAATATTGAATCGTTGTCTGCTCTTCAGCATCTTTGGCTAACATTATTGAGAATACATAGTGATTGTCAATCATTTTCTGCATATCCATTTCACTTTTTTCCTAGCTTCGATTAATTATACAGTTTTTCAATGGTTGGGAAGGGTTTCTGTTTCATATTCTGGTGTTACTTTCTATTTGCTCCCTTTCGACAGATGCCAACCCAGATGATCTACTAGTGCCAGAAATTTCTCATTTATACAAGACCGATAGGGCCAAGTATGAGACAACTACAAGGAGCTGGACTAAAAAAATATGCGATGGGCTCGTTTGTATTATGGGAAGGGTATGAGGGATGTCACTGTTGGTTCTCATGTATAAATGAAAATTTTCTGTACTATATTCTATTAGGAGTGATTGAAATAATTCTATGTCGTTCAATTTAAAATCAACATGATGCTTTAAGTTCATGTTCGACTAATTTATATCAATTATATGGATTTGATTTCGTACAGCTCCATGACCTGTGAATATTAATCCTAGATTTCAAGCCAGTGAAGAAACTATCTCGCATCATGGCTTCTTATGGATGATGGAGGATAAAGGCGGAAAATGGGCCAGAGCGCCGAGCTGCTCCAATTGCATTTCCACCCCCACTTGAATTCTGAGGGTATGTGATCTTTTCCATCGTCTAAAGTTTGTCCATTCATTGTGTCAACTGCCTTTCATTTTTTGCTTGGATCTAGACATTTTTCTTTAGAAATTGAGAAACTATTTGTACTATTTTTGCTGCAAACGAAGAGGATAATACTAGTGGGGTGGGCTGGAGGGCAGGGATCTACATAACCAAGACCTTAGTCGACAATAAAACACTAGGAAAGCTTCATAACTCTTTCCCACTGAAAAGCAGACTGTACTTGGATCTAGATTTTTATGGTAATGAAAACCCATATGTTCTTGGATATAGGACTTCTTTTTTTGCACAGAACTTCGATCTAGATTTAAGTTGAGCTTAATATAGCTCCAGATAATAGTAGTTTTAACCACAACTCGGTTGACTAATAAAAAATCGAAGGGAGTTTCTATTGTTCCAAAATTCTTGTGATGTTTATCCTCGGTCATTTCTGTTAGAAATCACGACTCTCTACAATGGTATATTGTCCACTTTGAGCATAAGCTCTCGTGGCTTTGCTTTGGGTTTCCCCAAAAGGCCTCAAACCAATGGAGATAGTATTCCTCACTTATAAATCCATGATATTCCACTAAATTAACTAATGTGGTACTCACCGTCAATAATCCTCAACAGTTCTCCCCTTGAACAAAGTACACTATAAGCCTCCCCCGAGGCTTATGGAGCTCTTGAATAGCCTCCCCTTAATCGAGGCTCGACTCCTTTCTCTAGAGCCCTCGAACAAAGTACACCATTTGTTCGACATTTTAGTCACTTTTGACTACACCTTCGAGGCTCACAATTCTTTGTTCGATATTTGAGGATTCTATTGACATGGCTAAGTTTAGGGCATGGCTCTGATATCATGTTAGACGAACACGACTCTTCACAATGGTATGATATTGTCCACTTTGAGCATATGCTCTTGTGACTTTGCTTTGGGCTTCTCTCAAAAGGCTTTATACCAATGGAGATAGTATTCCTCACTTATAAATCCATGATCTTCCCCTAAATTAACCGACGTGGGACTCACTCCCAATAATCCTCAATCCTCAACAGTTTTAACCACAACTCGGTTGACTAATAAAAAATCGAAGGGAGTTTCTATTGTTCCAAAATTCTTGTGATGCTTATCCTCAGCCAATTCAAATGGAAATCAAAACCGAAAGAAAACGTCTCGACATTGTGTTGTGGTAGTGGACAAATTTGGATGAAATGTCTGCTTCTTCCACCTACCATTTCCAAGTCAATTTATTATTATCTCTCTCTCTATATCAATAGAAATAGATTAAGGGCTGCAATTTGGTTGACAAAGAAAGTGGGACAATTCCTACATCCCACTCCCAATAAGAATGAAATTATTAAATGTTGTGTTGTCCTTTGGTATGCTCAAGTTGGTTTTGCCATCTCTTCCAACTTATCTTCGAACGTAGGTGGACATGAACTTCACCTCAGATTTCCCTTTCGGACAATAATTGTCCGAAACTATTCATCTTCTTAAAAACTTAAATTCTAAGGCACATAATATCCATCACCCTGCCAATTCTGCCAACAACAGGGTTATTACGTGCTCTGTTTGTTTGGTTTAAGTTCCCAATAATTAAATTTTGGACCATTACCCAACAGAGGGGCGAGGACGTTGGAGATTCCCTTCAAACTAGCATAGGGTCGATTAGTAGTTAAATCACTAATCAATTAAAAAGTTTAGTAGATGGATTATTATAAATTTAATCATATCAACATTTTAATCGTTAAAAGTATGTTATCCATCTAGAGAGTATAAGGTCAAATTCTCCCACCCAAAGTACTAGAACAAAGTATAATTTGTCCTAATTTCGAGATAAAAGAAGTCAAGAGCCTAATCATTTGATTTTCTTTTTTTTTTTTATAGAAGGCCTAAAAAATTGTGCCAAAATGAATTTCAACATGGAAACCTTATGTCAATGTCTAAGAAATATTTATGTAATATTGTTTTTATTTCATCTCTAGTTTTCTTCCCCTCTCACTTTACCCTTCTCCCTTCATTTTAATGGACTTTTCGACAGCTATGACATTTTTTGATTGCTTCCTCAAGTACAAGAAGAGTAGAGACTTTCTATATCATATGGATCAAACTTCGAAAAATTCTCTAGTAACAAATTTGCATATGTATGGTAGAAAGAACGCTCTTGTCTCTCATTCTTGTTGGTCTCTCTCGTTCTTGTCGGTCTCCCTCACCATCTTTGGACTTAAGCGATATTAACAAAAGGTTATACTTTTCTAATTTTAGAGATAGACAAAAAAAAAAAAATTAAATTAGTTGTGGGCAGGGGGTTCTGAATCTGATCAGGTGTTTGGATCTTTTGTCTACAGCTTCATTAAATCCAAAAATAATGGAAAATCACGTGAAGAAAATGAATATTTGTGATAACATCTAATGAGAATGACAGTTCCTTTAATGTCTTGGCCTCACACTCTTCACCCAAACCAAATAATGTCTACTAATTATCTGTTTATATAGAAATATATATATATATATATATATATATATATATATATATATATATATATATCGAAACCACTACTTTCGGATCAAATACGCGGCGACTCTTAATCTTTCAAATTTATACTTAATTAATTATCCTTATTACTTTTTAAAAATTCCTCGCAAAAAGAAAAAGGACAGACCGCTCCTATAAAACCGGCCCTCTTGCTCTGCTCTGCTCAGCCACTGAACCTTCTCTTCTGTTCTCTTCTTTTGAAAAGCTTAGAGAGCCATCAAATTCGAGTCTCCATTAATGGGTCGAGTTTGTTCCGGCGGAATTAGGTTCAGAGAAATCCGAACCACCACCCACAAATCGGCGACGGAGACCAAATTGGTTCGAATTTCGTTCACCGACGGCGACGCCACCGATTCCTCGAGTGGGGAAGACGAAGAGCCAATCTCCATCCGCCACGTCAAACGCCACGTGACTGAGATCAGGCTTCTCACTCGTAGTTCCAAAAAATCGTCGCTGAAATCGGGAGCTGAACCGCTGCGTAACTCGAAGAGTTACAGAAAGTTCCGGGGAGTTAGGCGACGGCCGTGGGGGAAATGGGCTGCCGAGATCAGAGACCCTTTCCGGCGGACTAGAGTTTGGCTTGGTACCTACGACACGCCGGAGGAAGCTGCCGTCGTGTACGACCAAGCCGCCGTCCGCCTTAAAGGCCCCAACGCTCTAACCAATTTCGCCGAAGCTCCCATTTCCAAAAGTACTGTTACCACACTTCTAACTCCGCCGCCGCTGGCGGTGGCGGTGGCGGTGGCGATTTCCGATAGAGAAGAATCTCGGTGTCTGTGCTCTCCGACTTCCGTTTTGAGATTAGAAGAACAAATTTGGAGACCCATTGAGCATGTAAACGAAGAATCAGCATTAGAAATGGAATTAAATTGGTTATATGATCGGAATTCCAACAGTTTGTTGTTCAATTCAAGAACCCCACAGCCCATAAATTCCGACGAAGTGGAAGATTTCGGCGACATTCCGATGGATTTCGAATCATGCAAATGGGATGTTGAGAATTATTTTCAAGATCCAACCTTTAGTATTTCACTCACTCACTGACAGACTGACAAATTCGCTATCTTTTTTAATTTATTTTATTTATTTTGTTATTATTAAATTTTAAAATTTCGTTGCCTTTAAATTTGTATTCTAACATATGTTTTATTTATATGCTTTTTATTTTTTGGAGTGAATTGTATTGTATGGAAATAGAATAGTGAAGGTTAAACTTTATGTAATCAACTTTTTTCTAAATTTGATATATATTTCAATAAATATGGCTAAGTTCATAACTCTATTTGAGTATCTAAATACTTTATTCTCTTTCATTTTTGCTTTTTGAATTTTGACTATGAAATTTAACACTGTATTTGAATTTTGAAACATAAAATAAAAACCTAATTCAGTGTTTTTGGTTTGAATTTAATCTGAGTTTAAGTTCAATTTGATTAAACCCTATATAAGTTTAAGTTCAATTTGATTATTATAGTTTGGTTAAATCCTATAAATCATTTATATACGAGTCATTGCCATATTTTCTATTTAAATTTCTAGGTTAATTCATCGTAGTAATATCTACAAGTAGTGGGTTTGGGCCGTTACAAATAGTATCAGAGTTAGACACCGGGCGATGTGCCAGTGAGGAGGCTGAATCCTGAAGGGAGGTAGATTGGGGGGTCCCACATCGATTGGATAAGGGAATGAGTGCCAGTAAGACAATGGGCTCCGTAGGGGTGGATTGTGAAGCTCCGAACGGGTGGATTGTGAGGCTCCGTACGCGTGGATTGTGAGATCCCACATCAATTGGAAAGATGAACGAAATATTCTTTATGAGAGTGTGAGGTTGGCAGTGATACGTAACAGACCAAAATAGACAATATCTACTTGTGATGAATTTGGGTTATTACAGAAATAGAAGATAGTTTAATAATGATTTGAACGGACCGGAATCGTCAAATTAGAAATTAAGATAGAAATCGATAGATTTAAAACCAATTTTAATGAAGAAATTGGGACTCACCAAATTTGAGTTACAGAATCAAGTATGAAATTGTTACCCGATGCAAGTTGTAGGCAAGCTTTCGACCCTCTAAATTTCGATTGATCGGGCGCTATAGAAGAGAGCACACGAGAATGATAGAAGAGGCAATGCACATCATGGTAGTTAGGTTTTGAAATAAATGTTATATTGTTGGAAAATAATTTAGCCCTCTAACAGCAGACAGCTTGTACGAGGTTTCTTGTGGTCCCACATTTTATTTCCTTTTTTTTTTAATTTTTATTTTTTTATTTTTTATTTTATATATTTGTACCAATTTTGAAGTCCAATTACTTACTACTATTCATTTGGTTGGTTATTTTATAAATGGTTGAATGTTGATTCTATTCGTCTCGTTATTAATCGTCAGCTAGATATGCTCGTATTCTCCTACCTAAGAAAGGTCCAAACGTCCAATGTTAGTGTTCGAGGGAATAATTTGAAACGTCGACTAGAAAATGTGCTTGTGTACTGGTTCTCGGAGATGAAGTATCGATGAATTTCTTATATGCTTGGCACAATAAATACTCCCATTGAATAAAACTCACGGTCTTGAATAACACCTACCTAGAGATCTTGCTTTCGAACCCTCGGCTAAGTTTATTGAGAAACGATTGATGTTGTAAATGTCTAGCCTTTTGTGACGAGCGTGGACTTAAAAAAAGTAGTCAATGCTCGTGATAACCATTCCTTAAAACTTGGTAGGTTTTATTCGATTCCTCCCGGTTCAAAGAAAAGAAAAAACAACAAATAGAATAGGAATCTAATTCTTTAATCTTTGCAATTCTATGTAGGTTAGGTTTTTTTCGAACTCAATTTCTTTGCAATTCTATGTAGTTTATGTTACATGTTTAAAATCATTCAAACTTAATATGATCGATCTTGTTGGTAGATCGATTTAAATCTCAATCAAATATTCTTGTGTAATATTCTCATGTCTCGTCTTTGCTATACTAAAAATAAAGGAATTTACCATTCCAACGGTTCTCTTACAAGATTAGTCGAAATGCATGAAAACTAGTTTATAATACTCACAAAACTAGTCGTAATTAGAGATGTCCTCGGACCAGGATATATATATATATGTATATATATATATATATATGTAATACGTCTCCCATTCTTTTTCTCATTTTGAGTTTAGTTACTTCCTTCCCAATAATTTTAGAATATTTTATAAAAGGTTAATAATTATTATGTTTGTTTAAAGATTATTTTTATTTATTTATTTATATTAGAGAATGAAAACAAAAGATAAGATAATAGTTTATTTTTAATTAATTTCGGAGGGTACCATAATATCTAACGTTAATATACCTACATTCATTATATGCTATTTATAAAGTATAAAAGGTGTTTTAAAGAAAAAGAAAAAAAAAGAACAAAAATTAGGACAAATCATGAAACATGAGAGGCTAATAAGAATCTATTGAAAATATGTTTATTTCTATGTATTTTTTTCTTTAGATAGTTTTGGCTCGTTCTTTTCACACTTGCTTCCATTACATCTTTGCTGTCATCTTAATGTAGAACAATCGTTGTGTCGTAAGAAAACATTTGAATGCATCAAAATTAAGGATCGTTGATGAGTGAAATCATCACACAATTAAATGAACCATAATTAAGGCAACTTGATTCGTCCAATCATTCGTAGAACAGAACCACAAATGAAGCATAAAATTGAAACTAATTTAACACGTTTATAAACAATTCAATAAACTAGAAATTATAGGTAGTTTTATACCTTTGACATGAAAAGATAATATAAACAATTCAATAAACTAGAAATTATAGGTAGTTTTATACCTTTGAGATGAAAAGATAATAACTAATTAAACTAAATTCAACGAACTCAAAAAGATTTAATTTTTGAATTAAAAATAGAGACTAAATTTATATGTATATGTTATCAAAATTAATAATTAAACATTTATGTACTTAAGATATAATAAAAAGTAGATAAATATGTTTAACTTTTTATTCGAGCAAATATTACTAATATTGTAAATGAAAATTGGTTGGAGCTTCACAATTTCACACAAAATCGTTTATATCTCTGTAGAAGAGAGAGCCCAATTCGCTTGCCTCTTGGATTCATGATCTAAATGCCTCAATTTTCTTTCTCGTTCATTGAAATTAGTCTACCCTATTTTCCCATAAATCTGGGCCTCCCGGAACGATATTGTACATTTTAAGTATAAGCTCTCGTGACTTTGCTTTTGGTTTTTTCAAAATGCTTCAGACTAACTGAAATGTATTCCTTACTTACAAATTCACGACCATCCACTTCAGGTTCCCTCCCAACAATCCTCCCCTCAAACAAAGTATACCATAGAGTCTCCTCCAAGACCTATGTAGCTCTCGAACAGCCTCTCCTTAATCAAGATTTGACTCCTCCTAGAGTCTTCAAACAAAATACACTTTTTGTTTGACACTTAAGTCACTTTTGACAACACTTTTAAGGCTACCAACTTCTTTGTTTCACACTTGATGATTCAATTAACATGTTTAAGTTAAAGATATGACTATGGTACCATGTTAGAAACTACGACCTCCATAATAATATGATATTATCCACTTTAAGCATAAGCTCTCGTGACTTTGTTTTTTTTGTTATCCAAAAAGCCATCTCCTAGTTAGGAAATGTGAGACTCCCTCCCAAAAATTCTCAACAACTTCACCGTTCTAATACTCTCTAGCCCTTTCGGCGGCTGGAGCCTCCGTTCTTTCTGCCATCCTCGTTAATCCATCCCTTCGACATTTTGTCTTTGTGGAGGGTTTGCTTTCCCTTAACTCTCAAGCTTGAAACTCAGCCTAACATATAAACCTTTCACATCACTGAGATGATGGCTAGGAATGTTTCTATGGCCTAACATCTCGACCCTAGTTGGTTCGCTTAACTCTTAGTTTAAAAGAATCTAGAACAAATTTTCTTCCCTCATCAAAAAATAAAACGTTTTATTTGGTTGTCAGCTGGTGTTTCTTTTGCAGAGAACAAATGGCTAGGAACGTTCCTTTTGCAGAGAGATCTTGAAAGGGCATTTGGGATGAATACGAGAACAACTCTGGCAGAAACTTGGAGGTAAGTAGTAGCAATCTTAGTACCAGGGTTTCCATTACCATTACCATTACTAGTTATTCTTGGAGTTGAATATGAGTTCCATTATGCTTAGACACGATGTGTTTGGTCTTTTATCAAAATTTCACACACTGAAACTGTTTACTTTGAGACAGGGATGGAGGATTGAAAGGGATGTTTACAGGAATTGATCCCTCCATCGGGATAGTCTTATCTTTCTACGAAGTTGTCAAACAGACACCCACACAGAAGACTCCATGACTAATCTCTTTGTAAGCTCAACTAATCTCCTTTCCACAGCCACAGATTCTCTTGGCCGGAAATATTTGGATGCCTAGAGGACAACTTCGCTTCTATGGAAGAGACCTCTAATCTCGATCTATTTTAAATTCGGTTAGATGAACACGACTCTTCACAATGGTATGATATTGTCCCCAAAAAGCTTTATACCAATGGAGAGAGTATTCTTTGATTATAAACTCATGATCATTCCCTAAATTAGCCGATGTGGGACTCTCCCCTCGAACGAAGTACGCCTCCCCTTAATCGAGGCTTAGACTCCTTTTCTTTTGGAGTCTTAGTCATTTTTTACTAGGCCTTCGAGTGGCCTCGACTCCTTTTTCTTTTGGAGCCTTTTGTTCAACGTTAAAGGATTCCATTGACATGACTAAGTTTAGGCCATGACCTTGATACCATGTTAGATAGACACGACTTTCCACAATGGTATGATATTGTCCACTTTGAGCATAAGCTCTCATGGCTTTGCTTTGGGCTTCCCCAAAAGGCCTCGAGAGAGTATTCTTTGATTATAAACCCATGATCATTCCCTAAATTAGGGGACATGAGACTTTCATCCAACAAATCCAATCCCAATCTTTCCTTACATTGTTCAAGATACTCCTAAATATGAAAATGGAAAAGTGGAGGCAATATATCCTATGCTATCCAAGATCCCTAACATTAGAAGAAAATAATGGTGGCTTCCAACTCTCTAATCTAACCTCTAACATCAATCAAACAAGTTGCAGACATGAAAAGCTTTGAAAAATGGATCCAATGAATAAATTATGATAACAAAATTGAAAGTAATGGATTAAACAATCAATAAATAAAAGAATGGATCAAAATCTG